ACCTGTAGAGAATGCACTCACCATATATTGTTGATCAGCATCATCAGAAATTAATAAATTGATAAATCGACCCATCATGTTTTGCTCTTCAGAAAAGTCTTCAGGATCTTCCTGGTAATGATAGAGTGGAAAGCAACAAAGTGATGTTAATATACTGAATAGAAAATACTCCAACATAAGCCTCTCTCTCTCTCACTTCATGTGTTATCTAGGGAAGCGATTGTAATGATGTGCAGTATATAATGAAAAAACACCCAATAAAGTTTAAGAATGGACATAACTGAACAGTTTTTTTCACCAGAATTTAAAACAGGAAATGTGGGTGACCATCCTTAAAATATAGAATTAACCTATGACATTCAGCAAGGCCTAGTTGGGTTTGGTTAACAATGTCTTCTTGATGGGCAGAATCGGACAGATTAGTTTTGGAATTGTATATAAAGCCAAAATAAGGTAACGACGTGTTCCTTCTTTTTCGCCATCACAAGAATTTCATGATGGAATGAATGGAAACAGTAGTTTTGCTTTTAGTCTCGTAAGCAATAAGGACAAACCAAATGAGCAACAAACAATTAATCAGTAGATAGAAATACACAATACCTCTTCCTGTGGTTGGTCATTTTGGTCCTGGACCAACGGGGCAACCAGCGTTAATACAGCGTCTGTTTGTTCTTGTGTAGGGATATATAAACTGTTCTCTAGTGCATTATTGATAACATATGCTGCCATTATTTTCCTCGACTCGTAGTCGAAGAATTCAAATAAAGGCGCAAAGTGTTTTAGCTGCAGTACAGTAAGGAGGTTGTTGTAGTTGTCAACTGGAATCTTTAGAAGTCTTGAAAGCTCCTTGCAAACAGCGCTACTACTCTCCAGTCTGTAACAAAAAAGAATATAGTTAAATTATTCATGGCTTGCCCTATATATTTAAGGGCGAGAAGATAACAGCATAGGATGGGGGAGATCACAGATGGGAAGATGAACTATAAATGCTAGGGAAGATCACTGCATAGGCTTATGTATAGGATTAACCACATACATAATGATCCGCTGAATATTATTGGAGTTATCCTATGGCACCGAGCGACAACATTTTGCCACTACTATGACTTCCCCTTAACTTCTTTACGGACAAGCCAAACACTAAAGCTAGGATAAAGTGATGTCAACACTGAGGTTCAGAATGACATTATATTGCTGATATTATAACTATTTATGTACAAAAACTGGTAAAATTGATGATAATGCAACATCACTTTTTTAATAACTTACCGTTCAAGATTTAATCTGTTAAATATTTCCACAGTTGTTTCTAGAACTTTATCTACGTAATCTACTCTGTCTGGGTAACATTTTAACGCTAGGTTGATTAGAGATACTTGTAATGATACAATGTCTTCTGTTGGCATGTCTTCACGTGCCTATGGAAAAAGAATAATACATTGCTGTATGTTACAAAGACGTCATCTTTCTTCGATGTGAAAACTAAAGGTCGAGTGGTCACCATTTCATTAAAAGCAGTCACATGATGGAAATCATAAGAAATTGTGATGCATGACATACACACTATATGGGAAATAGCCGTCAGAGAGAGGCTTAGCCCCTCAAGATGGCGACGTATTTGACATTACATTCAGGGATTCGATAAATTAGTAATTCCAGAGGTTCGCTTGACAAAACTAGATTTCAATAGATGGTGCCCTCTGGGGACCCAGGCGCAACCCTGCGTCCATCGTTTTCACTTGCGAATGATTTAACATACTATGACGGTATGTAGCGAACACGCTATGCTTTCAGTGTCTACATTTCGGCGATGGCCGTTACAGATTGGCTCTAATGACACAGGAAATGTTTTATTAAAAATAAAAATTGAAGAAAAAAGATAGTTACAGCTATTCCCACTTTGAGAGGAAAAAGTTGCACACAAACAAGGGACACAGGTAAATGAGGGATCACCATTTAGGATGGTCATCACTTAAAACTACTCTTTCAATCTCCAAAATGAACTGACATCAACGCATCATACCTGAATTACTGATGAAACTTGTTGTGAGAAAATATCAAAGAGTTTAATGTCACTAGGAATGCCAGACCCATCGTCACGGTGTGCAAATAAAGCAAGTCTGAAGAAAAAATAAAATCAGTTATCAGAATGAATAGTGTATTCAATACATACATATGACTGGTGAGCATTCTCTGTATACAATTTCTGATATTAGATTGACAATCATAAAATGTTACCTATCAATTAGTGCTATTATGATGTTTTTTACATTCACAAGTTTATGCAGGTCAGCACACGCCTTGAGAAAACTATTGAGTGTCTGCAAGTGGAATTCATCTGGAAATACCTGGAAAAATAACATTATCATTATTTGGGACCACACGAACAAGTTTTAGTTTTTGATCAAAAGCATTTTTATGTGGGGAGGGGCTATACAAGATGGTGCCAAAAGTTGACTATGGTGCTCAAGGGGATAAATTTGATCAGTTGAGGCACAGGAAAAACATTTTGCTAAAACAAAATGGCCACCAGTCAGCCATTTTGAATCTTATCTTAGGTAAAATGATGTGCATCAAGAACCCATTGTATTCAATAGCCAACTCAAGTTTGAATGAAGTATGTCCATGCATGACTGAGATTCCGCTTCCGGAACAAGGATTAATAAACATGTACAGGAGGAAAATATAAAACGAAATGGAAAATGCATATGTAACTGGATAATTACCTGAATGATGCATTCCATCAGATATTCCTGTGCGATGTAATCACGACAACTGACAGTTTGTTCAAGAACTCCAGGGAGTACATTCTAAGAATTAAAAAGAAAACTTGTTAAATTTGATAAGTGAGACGCACCATGAGAAGTCCATCATGCTGTAGGGTTTCATCAAGAAAGTTGCAGTAGCTTCAGACGTATATCTAAATTTTGCTTCAATTGTATAAAGTGTGATCAGCTAAGTACAATCCATGCAAAAGTTAACACCTTTCCATAAATAACGCAATAAACATAAAGTAATTACCAAATGGCTGCAATTGACAAGTACATGAATGCTGATCTCATTGACACCTTTTGACCTTACAATTGGGACTTTTAAAAGTTTTATGTAACTATAACTAACGACATTCACAAGTACATTTGCTTCCTAGTTGTAATGTAAATCAACAGTCATGTAAAAAACTTCTCCTGACAACTGAAATCTCAACTTTTCTGGAACTACCCTCTGATGGATGGTGTGGCTAACTCAGTGTTGTAATCCCCTATTGTTTTAATTGTAATTAAGGTAGAGATGCAGTTTATTTGTGAATTTCAATCAAAAATAGTTTTTTTCGTTTTTTTTATAGATTTTTATCTAAAGAACATTCTGTGAAAATTTGACCAATGAATTCTTATTGGAACACCGTTAAAATTGCTGTTTATTTTCTGGTTAAAAATAAAAAAACACTCACACGTGGCAATGTTTCCGTGAAAAATGGGTAAGTTTACGTCAATTTGACGGACATTCCATTTTTTTAAACTAACGAAGCACACTGTTTCGCACTCCTATTTTTTTCATTTGCCGATTTCTATTCAGAAAAATTCGACCGCTCGAAAATGCACCTTCATTTTGCACTCTTAAAACATGTCAGATTTCCAACACTAATTATTTAAAACCGGTCGAAATTTTAAAACTGTTACGTTAGGAGCTGGAACTCTCTTCTTGCAGGCGACCGTCGCCGGTAGTACAACAGCATGTTTTGTACGTACATC